GCGGACCACGTGTCAGGGGCAGAAAAATGGCCGCGGACCACGTGTCAGGGGCAGAAAAATGACCGTACCCCAAGGCGGAGTTCACACATCGAGGTAAATTTTTGCTGCTGGAGCTGGTCGTAACCCAAAAAGTTTGTTAGTACAGGTGTTCATATCCCGAGGTACCACTGTATATGTAAGGGCATGGCTTTTAATTAAATGAAATCATTGTTTTAATCCTGCCTGATTGCTATAAGTGTATGAAAAATCTTGATTATACAAAGAAAAAACAAACAATAACAGCTTTTCTGTGTTTTTGTATATAACCTTGAAATTAAAAAAATTGAAAAAAGACCTTGAAAAAAAACTTGAAATTAAAAAAATTATGAATGGCTCAATCTTATTGTCAGTAATATGCTTCATTGGCTTTCCTATTTTGCACCATTTGTATTTCTTACACAATAGCCTATAAGTGATCATTGGATACTCTTTATGAAAACTTCAGGATCCTCCACCTCTGAACAAATGGAACAGTGAATCAGACTATGAAAACATAATGTTTGCAATTGTAGTACAGTATAACTAAGGGTGTGGCATTTTATAGTCATCAGTTGGAACAGCAGGTCTATCGTCCAGATTAGAATGCATCTTTGTTTTTAAATGGCAGGAAGGAAAGGTTGTAGAATATGAAACAACTGTCATTTAAGTGAGTTCCATGACAGTCTGTATCAGTGGCACATGCAATGGGAAATGGGGATATCATACATGCATTGCATGCCCATACAAAGGAGTGGGGCTTCAATTGCATTGTCTCAGCCACCAACTTGACTTTTTATTCTTCTTGTACCTACCAGTAGTTTGTATTGTGAGCTGCTGGACAAAAATAACGTCATGTGGAAAATAGCTATTGTTGAGGAAAATTTCAGGGATAATTTTATGTGTACAAATTCTGATACACAAATAAGTTGGGGGAAACAGGCAACTGGCTATCATGTTGTAAATCTGCAGCTTGTTTTTTTACCAAAGTTTAGTCAAATTTCATTGTCTTAATTACAGAATAAATTTTAAAACATTTGAATTAAATAGTCCATGTATGTCATATACAAATTTGAACTTTGTATTCTGAAACTAATGTATCAGATAGTTTTAATACTGTACTTTGATCAATTGTTAATATCAATGGTCAACCTTTTTGATTTTTTGATCAAGGCATGTGAAATTGTTATTGAAATTAACATTAGTTGACCAAAACTAAGAATAAGGATGTTAGTAGTGTTTAGGGTTAAGACATATAATGGCCAGATTGACACTCTTATCACAGAAAAGACATTCTTTATGTTTATTGCTGACTGGAATCCACTTACAGACTTGTTCTGTTGTTGAAACAGAAAAAAATTAACTTGTAATTTATGGTTTTGATGATTATAAAAAAAATCGATTATAGAAAAAAATGAGATTCATGTTGTAGCCATAGAGTAAGAGGTAAATTTATACTTATAACTGCTGTAAAGAAAATCAGAAGCTACTTCTTTATATTTTCTTTCTTTTCTTTTTTCTGCACTTTGGGGTTTCTCTTTTTCTTCTTTTTTTCCTTTTTCCTTTTTTTTTTCTTCTTTTCTTTATTCTATATTAGTTTCTGTTAGTTTTTCTTTCCTTTTTTAAAATTAAAACTATATAAAAAAGGATTAAGACATATAGAATTTTAAAGGATTAAATCTGGGAACTTACACTTTTTCTTTTTTCTTTTCTAAGGTATATTCTTTTACAACAAACATCCAATAAGACAAGTGGATATTTTTGGCACAGTGGTTCTAATAAAAGAAAAAGATGCCTTTTATATTTATGGAGGTAACTGATCATGCAAGATTTGTTTTTCCATTTTTATTAGGATTAGTATCCTAAAGATGTATTTCTAGAGAAAGTTCTTTTTAATGATATATAAGATGAATGTATGTATCAGTCCCACTAGGTAGACCAGACCTGGAAATCAACTTTACAGGAAGGCTAAAATTACTTTTATTAAGACTGGCTAATATAACAGAATCTTGCAAGTCTGATTGTTCTGTACCACCTTCTCCTTCTTATAGTTCAGTGAATTAGGGAGGTGTCTGCCTGAGCTGCTTCTGAATGTTATCTTTTTCATAACTTTAAAAAATGCTTCAGTCCCTTTTGCCTATGCAACAGATCTTCATATCTCCATCAGGGTTATATTTCTTTCTGCACCATGTTTAATGTGCTCTACAAAATCAAATATAGAGAAAAATATCTTTTAAAATTACTTACTGGAGCTTATATCACTCAGAATGTTGCCTGTGTTAACAGTGAAATCTTGTACATGTATACTCAGAAATAAGTCCCATCTGGAATAACCTTCCATTTGTTAATTCACATCTCCTTCAAAACTTATCCCAGATATTATTTTAGATTGACCTCCCAGAGATAGATGATAAAAATAAGAATTTGACCTGGCTACTGATATACTGATAATGCTGCAACCTAGTTATTTGGGTACCAAAATCAGTGATTTCAGATAGTTAATGAAAGCCAGAAACTTTGATACTGTACTTTTTATGAACCGAAAGGCAACAGAATGGAATCACTATCTTCTAGCACTGCCTTCTGGGAATGTTTTGATGTCTTAGAACCAGGTGCAAGAACTATACCTAAATGAAATGCTGAATGATAGCACTTGCTTTATGCCAAGAATTCAACATATCAAAACTGAATGTGAAGAGTGCCTGGGAAAAGTGTTATTCTTGCCCTTAATGTTTCTAGTACTTCAGCAGCTCTGGGTTTGAAAGAGGAAAAGTGCCTCCATTATGCATAGTTTTCTATTTCTGGTCATCCTTTCTTCACTCTCAGTGTGAAGCTTTCATTTTTCATTTTGTAACCAGCTTCTCATTGGCACTCAAACTGAACTTAGCAAAAATAAGTATATCCTTGGGAATACTCACCTGTTTCCAATTACTTCTTTCTCTATTTCTCCACATGGTCAGACTATTCTTAGTTCATTTCTCAGGCTGTGTGCCAACTTGCCCCTCCCTGTCCTCATAGCCACAGTCAGGCTGAGTTGCCTAAAATAAGTTGCAACTTCCCTTTCAGTTTAAAATGAAGTTGTGCCAGCTGGTGAGCTGAACAGCAAGTGTTGCATCAGCTGCCCAAGCCTAATGATTCATGAAACTCTCCTGTATGGGGATAGAAACTGCAAAAGATGGAAATAGAAAGTTCTTTCTTAACTGGTAAGGAACAGGAAAATGAAGAGGAGCTAAATCATTGCCCAGGCTTTATCCATTCTCAGGAGCCAAAATGACACTTACTGGTCTTAACGTCATAATGTGCCTCTGTAATTAACAGAACAGAAGGATGGGAGTAGCAGAATCTGCAGAAATGGTTCCCACACACTGGGAGTGAAGGAAGAATGACCAGAAATAGAAACGCGTGCATAATGGAGGCACATTTCCTCTCTTTCAAATTAAGAGTTACTGAACTACTAGAAACGTTAAGAGCAACAATAACACTTTTCCCAGGAGTTCTTCAATATAGAGTCAACATATGGGGAGACTGGCACTAATAACATATTACTCCACAGACATGTAAATTTTGCTCATCTTACCCCAAATAATCTGGTTTGATATTCTTCTCTACCACATCATTTTACAGATGCTTATATCAATCCCAGATAACGGCTGTAGGAGAACAGAATCATTATTATGATTAGCCAGATACTTTCCATCTATTATTTGCCTCAATAGGAAATAGTAATTTTTCGAACTAAGAGAATTGCATGAGATTAAGCTGGTAGAGGTTTGAACCCAATAGCACTTGCTAAAATATGCTTAGTTCCTAGTGAGTCACTTCCTAGTGAGATGGGCGGTGACCAAATTTGAAATATAAATATAAATAAAATGTCAGCCTTCTGTCTTTCTGAGAGTGAGGGAAGTAAACTTCTATCAAAATGACATAAATTACTGCTATTCTCTTCCAGTGGATGATAGCACAGGAGTAATAAGCTGCACCTGCTGGAAAAATGCTTTAGCAGAAAAGAAAAAATTGTCAGGTAATAATAAGTTGGTGGCTATTGTTTTTATGTTTAAGGATATTCAGTATATACTATAGTCAGTGTTGTTTAGAGATACTAACATTTTCCTGTTTGGCTTTTTCATATCTTGCTTGCTCTATTGAAGACTCTGAAAATGGGGAATTTCTTTTTCAGCTCTAGCTATTAATTCAAGTAATTTGTTAAATACAGCAGGATCTGACTTTTTAAAAAAATATATTTCCTTTGTATGACTTTCTTCCACTTTTCTTTTTTCTCTTCAGGTTCCATTTTGTCCTTGTTATAGCAACATTACATGTATTTATAATGTATTTGGATTTGTGTCCTCATACAATAAGTTCTAGTTTGCATGAATAAGTTCATACATATTTATAATCTGTAAAAATAATAAGTAGAATAGAACACACTTTTGGATTAATTAATGAAAAAAGAAATTAGAAGCATATTTTTCCATTCTTCAGTATAGATTTCTTTTTCTTACTATCACAAATCACGGCAAAATGTTAAATTCTCTTATTTCCCTATGGCTAAATATACTTTTTACCCATATTGTACCTTCCAATAGGTATTATGAAACTACAAGGGGTTTTTGTTGGTGGTGTTTTTTTTAGAAAGGTTAGCACAAGTTTGAAGGTGTAGATTAGTTATACTGAGCTTACTAAATTTGGCATCTTTCATTCTTAGGTGTATCCTGTATGACTGTTTTCAGTCTGCAGGGAATAATACAGGAATTCAGGGGCAGTTCTTTCTGTGTATTTGCTCACTGAGGTAGCAGAGGAAAAAAATATTTTATTAATACACCGTTCAAATCAAATTGTCAAACCTAAATCAAATTTTAGAAGCCTGAAACTTAAGTATGTACAGCTATGCCAGAAAAAAGTGGTGAAAGTTAATATAGAAGGCACCTTCACTTGCATTATCACACTTGCTGGATGGGCAGTTATATACATTTACATAATAAATAAAACACCAACATTTGAGTTTTAAAGAGAACAAAAGCATAAAGCGCATTAATATCTTTATAGACATCAAGAGGTAGCTTTTGTTTTGCTCCCAATAAGGATTGTGGCAGTATGTACGCTGATGAATAAATACACAAAGCTTCTTTTAAATTGGTTTGCTGAGGATTCTCATGTACGTTGTATATATGTGTGCAGGCTGAATTATAGAAGAGTAGCACTGCAAAGATTTTAGAGTACAGAATTGAATCGTATGTTACAAGTCCCTGCATGTATTGTTATTGAAGACACTATGAACAAAGACCTGTTCATCAAGTGTATGACATGGCTGAGGACAGAGATAGTGTTGGATATTGCATATGCATATATCTACTATGGCAAAGGAGATGTGATAGTACCAAAAATCTTTCCTGAAGAACAGAGGCACCCCAGGTCCATCAGTTGGTTAACGTTAACAAGCGGCTGTTAATCAGATATTCATATGACACTTGCAAGTGGTTCACACAATTTAAAGACAATTTCAATATGTCCTTTTCTAAAAATTTCTGTAGGCATTTGTAATGTGTATTTTTCACTCTTTAGCCTACAGATCAATAAAAACAAGAGTTTCTTGTTTTGCCTAAAATCCTTTCAATTGCTGCCCCCATCTGTGGAACAGCATTCCCCCAGAGAGTCAAATGGCCCCAACCCTATTGGAATTCAGGAAGCCATGAAAATCTGATTGTTGCAGCAATCCTTGGGGTATGGGATGTTGTAACATTGCTTCGACTCATAATGGAGTATTTGCTTGATTAATTGATATATGTTCTTTGATGTATAAGTATAGTATAGGTATTACAGTACTTTATGCTATTATTTTTATTATTGTTATAATAATTGTATTGTTTTAATCTGGTTTATGGATGTCAGGTATGCATACCACTCCAAGTTAATAATGTTTGGAGCAGCAAATAAGCTCAGTAAATAATTAAATAAATCTAAAAATTCATGTCACAGAAAGAAAAAAAGCAAAGAAAATTGAGAAATTTATAGCTCTACCTATCCCCGCTGTTGTATTTTTTCTATACATGGTACTGCTTAAGAACCTTTTCCAAGCATGAAAATGGCCATTTTTCAGTGAGAAAAAATACAACATGTCTATGTAGTCAGGACCTGTATAATTGTAGTACTTGAGAAAATTTCTTTAATTTTATATTACCCAGTGAACATTTTTATTAATAACACAACACCTTATGAGATGTACGCATTTTTCTGCAGATTTTGAATCTCAGCCTAGTACTTTAAGTGGCCTGAATCTTACTGACTTGGTAAGAAATCTCCAAATAGCAATTCAGAAAAAAACAAGGCTGGAAATTGGTGATCTAATCAGAGTCCGTGGTAGCATTCGAATTTACAGGCAACAACGGGAAATCAAGGCCTCAATGTATTGTGAGTAATTACTCTTCCAGCAATATGCATTTTTATCTTTACCAAGCTTGCAGAATTGTAATCTAAACATTTTTCAGTAAAGATTGTTTTTTCCGTCACAACTGAATCTGTGTTCTTTATCTATCTGGTATGTAGTACTCTGATATTCACAAATTTTGAATTATTTTATTTTATATATAAAATATAGTAAATACGCTATTAGAACTATTAACAATTTCAATACGTTTACATTTCTATGATCTTATATCTTTTCAGATAAAGTTGATGATCCTATGTATGAAGTTCAGATTTCCAGGATGCTAGAACTCCCCCGTCTATATAGGGATATTTATGATAAGGTATTCCAGTTCTCAGAAGAGACACAGAGGTCAGTGAGAGCTATATATACTGATAATTAAGTTTTGATATGGCATTAATTAGTATTTCAAGGAAATGTGAATCCCAGTTGGAGACAATGAAACAGGCTATTTTATAGGAAGCATTGTATGGAAACAGGAAGAATAATGAGGAATTAATGAATATGGGATGAAATAAGGAAGAGATGTAGCTGATGAACCTATAGTACATGTAGAGTTAAAAATAAGAATGCTTTGATGCGCTCAGCAAGATCATCTTAAGACTGTACTAAAAATAAAAAATAGTATTAAAATCCTTGACTATCAGTGGGATCTCAAGATGGCCAGCACATTGAGCAAAGTAAATGGATATCCTTCCTCATGCCATGTATTACCAAATCATTTTCAAAGCCCAGTTCCTGGGATTCAGATACTCCTTGATAAAACTCAACCTGGTTCTTTCCAGATATATTGTAACTGCAATTCACATAATTCCCAATCACTCAGGTCAGGTTGGAGAAGCCAGAGAAAGAGACAGCTAATACAGTAGCTAGTAGTAATCTAATGTGTCAGCCACAGTTTAAGCAGAAATGTGCTTAGTGTATTCTCTTATGTGTGCCAACATCTCAGCAGAGATTTGCAATAATCATGCCATCCAATTCCTAAATTATAGGCAGTCCTCATTTAGCTACCGCAATCCGTTCCAGTGAAATGGTGCTAAGTGACATGGTCGCTAATTGAACCACATGCCTGAGAGACACTGCAAACATTGCTAGTTGCTGCTGACTCCATTTAGATAAAGTTGTCTTATGCAGCAATGCCAGTGTTACTCTAACTCCAGTGTGCATTATCAGGCACAGAAATTTGGTCATAAGCATGTGGATTGGTCAGAAAATGATTTTTTACTACCATTTACTATTGTTTATTACCATCATATTTGCAAATGGTTGCTAACTGAGGTAGTTGCTAAATGACAACTGGCTGTATATCTAATTTCACAAGTCTATTATGTACACATTTTAATGTATTTCTACCTGTGAAGAATGTATAGTGGCTACTAGGTGTTCAGCCTTTCTCGAAAGCTTCCTGTAGTTTCACTATTCGTTTTAGACAGTTTTTCATTTTGGTCAAAGTTCAAACTTTTTTCTCTGCATTTTTAATTTTATTTATTCTCTATTAATAGTAATCATGGCGCATCAGATGAGCTGGGTTCTATTATACTAAGTAAAAAAATAAGGGACTTTCTATTGAGGAACAAGATTCAGAGCTTCTATAAGCAGGAATTAGAAACAGTTGAGGATTTGGTATCATTGGCCAGACAGGATGGACTGAGTACCACTGCTGAGCAAGTGAGTAAAAGTGACTTTGTAAGAAGTTTTTCTCATGTGGGGAACATTTAAATTAATTAAGAATGAATTAAGTGTTAGGGCTAGGCAATCATTGCTAGTTTAAGAAACAAAATTTGCATCTATTAATGATGTGTCAGCCTACAATTTGTATACACCCTCTGTTTTAGACCCTAGTTATGATAATTAAAAACTGATTTTTTAAAAAGTAATGAGATTTTAATATTCAGGAACTGGTTGAAATGACTGATATTATGCATGGTTTTTAAGTGTCTGCAGTAAATATTGAAGGATGAAAACCTATTAAATTTACAAACCAAACTACAATGCAACATTATACTGTATGTTGGATTTTAACCTCCAACTTTAACTCACTTCTGTTAACTATATTGGGGAGGTATTCTGGAGTTTTAGATGTCTTTTACAAATAATGCATCAATTGAGTAACAGGACAGAATAGTCCTGAACTTAAGAGCAGGATAACTGAGGTCCAACTTCTTACAAAGATGGGACATTCTGTATAATATTAAAAAACATTCTGACATCTGCCTCACATTACACATTTTCTTCCTGGACATTTCAACTTGTTTGGAAAAAACCTTAGGGATGAGGGATTTAGGAGGCTCCAAGCCACTAAACTCTAATTGAAATCAGAGTTGAACATAAAGTAAATGCTTGTTTGAGAGTTGGACTGATTTTCAATAGCATAATGTTTCTGTTTTTCATTGCACTTCTGGTTAAATAGGAATTTGCTTATAAAAAGTTCATAGCATGCAGAAAATAAGATCATGAGCCAGCTAGCCATGGTGCAGATTTGCATAATGTATGTGATGTTATGCATACTTGTGTCCTTTGAAAATCTGAATTGAACAAACAAAATTATTTAAAATCCTTTTTGTAGTGTTATAAGTAAGAATATCAACATGTTGAGTAGTATCTCTTTAATTTCAATCTTTTAATTTTCTTTCAAGAGAAGGAGAATGCTTAGGCAAGTTTTTCTTTTCTGTGGACTATAGTTTTGTTTAATGTTAACCCTAAAAAAGAAATGATCACTCAGTTCAAGCAACAATAAAACTGTTCCTCCCATTCACAAAGGCTTCTATGAACTCTTTCCTAGTGGTTGCTTCCTGACAACCATTAGTTTTCATAAAGAAATGTTTGTCATTGAAATTTAATTAAACAAATGGATTTGAATTTGAACGAGAACCCTGCTGATCTGTACCACAGTGATATAAAACAAAAGGAGCAAATAGTACAGAAGAAGGATTCAGTTTAGCTAATCAACTTCCATAATAAGTAATTCTGGTAGAAGCTGAAAGCTCTCAGCTCAGTAAATTAAATACTCATAGAAATTTGAGTTAGTCTAATTTGGTAATATGCTCAAGAAACTTAGGAGTTTGTTTATATACATTTCAGAATCCTAGCAACTCACATTCCTCAACCTCAGCTGCTCATTGGTAAAATTGTGAATAATATCCTTTTCAGTTTTTTGAGTATCCTGCATTACTTTTGTCCAAGCACACCAACCAGAATCTTGTTCCCTATAAAAGACAGTGAGTACTTTCCCAGTTTAGGAATATTCCTGGTACGTAAGAACATAACATAAGTAGTGCCCTACCCTGCTCTGTCTATTCCAGCAGCCAACCAACTGCACAAGGAAGCTCACTAGTCTCCCAGCAGATGGTTTTCAGAGGCAGTCACACTGCCATCAAGGCTAATAGCCATCGATTCTCATGACTTTCATGAACAAGTCCAACCCTTTTTTGAAGGCAGCCAAAATGGTTGCTACTTTCATATGGAATGCTTAGCTATCACGGATATTTAATTCATGGTTTTTCTTTCCTCTTCCCTTCCCTTTCTAAATCCATACTGATATGTAATTTGTCTTGCAATTTCTTTTAAGATGTACTATATGTTGGCTTTGAGTTTCCTAGCTATACAGTATTGGCACTACAACAAAACTCAATCGATAGCTTTATCTTCTGAAAGCAGCATGATCCAGCAATAAAAGTATAAAAGAGCTTGGCCTGTTGACCTCTCATGTTGCATACTGAATTTCTGGAGCTTTCTGTTTCCATCTTCATTCGGAACTACAAGCTCAGTTCATGTAGAGACAGAATGTCTTCTCACCTTTAATCTTGCACCCTCAGAATCAGCAATTCCCTTTTTCCTCTGTTAGTCCTTGGATAAGGTCCCTAGGACCTATATCCCTATAAGATAATCTTGACTAAATTATTTTGTTTAGTTTTAAATACAACACACAGAAACACCTATATTACAGCTGAATTCATCCTTTTCTTTTTATGTATCTACTTCTTACATGGTATCAGCTGGGAAATAACATGAGCTCTAAATCCACTAAATTATGACATGGGAAGGAATAGAAGGAAGGAATAGACTTCCTCTAACACTTACCATATATTCCAATAGTATCCAACTTTAAAACAAAGAATTCTATAAACAAATGATTTTTTTTGTCAAAGTATTATGGTTTATCAGCCTATATCCAGATGATTTACTCAAAGCTATTTAAGCAATAATGCATTGCAACATACTATTCACCATAAAATAGCATTAGATTATGTATTTTTGTCAGCCTGAATATGTCTCTTTTCACTATATAGTTGGAATACTGTGACATTTAATTAGCAATTTTTTAAAGAAAACTGCACAACATTCAGAAGATATTAATAAAGATAAGGGCAAGGGGAAAGTGATCTATGTCACTTTATCCCCAAGGAAAGTTGACTGAAAGAAAAGTTTGCTTGATAGAAATCTTCAAATATTTAAAAGAACAAATATTCATTGGAGCCATAGATGAAGAAGTTAAGTTAAATTACAGGAAGGAAAGTTTTAGAATAGATTAAGAAAAACTTCCTTATTATGAGAACAGCTAGATTGTCTCAAATTGTTTAGGAAGGCTGCAAGATACTAATATTTTGGACATATTTAAAGAACTTGATCACTGATAGGAACTTGTCTGGATGATGTTCTGTATTCATCAGATTAATTTTAAAGGTTAGCGCTGCACATCTTGCACTTCAGGTCTGCCTCTAAGCACCTTTCTGTTTGGACAACCAATAGAAATTGTGCATATTGCAAACAAATTCAATATAGTCAAGCTTCAGATATTTCAGGTGACTGAGGACTTAGTAATACAGGCTATCAAAAAATGTAGTGTACAGGTAGTCCTTGACTTGCGATGGCAATTATGACTGGAATTTCCATCACTAAGCGATACGGTTGTAAAGTGTGACTTCACTGCTTAGCGCTGGCAATCCCTGCAGTTCCAGTTGCTATCATTAACCGAATCCCACGCTCATTAGGCGAGGCAACTTCCCACTGGCTTCCCACAACCAAAGTCAGTTGGGAAGCCAGCAGGAAGTTGCAAGTGTCAGGCAGGCAGATAAGTGGCTGCTGCTGCATGAGGGAGGGAAGGAGGGGGTGCAAGGGGGTGCAGGGGAGGCATGGCACGGGTCAGGGAGGGTGCGCGGGGGTGTGGCAAGGTCAGGGAGTTGGCGAAGGGGTGTGCTACAGGCGCGGCACAGGTTGGGGAGGATGCGCGAGAGGCATGGTGTGGGTCGGGAGGGTGCTTGGGTGACCGGCGTGGTGCAAGAGCAGAGGGGCTGAGGGAGGGGGTGCAGGTGGGAGAGACTTACCTCAGCGACAATGGGGAAGCCGGCAGGGAAGGTTGCAAATGGCAATCACATGATCACCAGGCACTGCAGCTGGTCATAAGTGCAAACCGGTTCCCAAGCGCCCAGATCCCAATCACGTGATTGCAGGGATGCTGGGATGGCTGGAACTCTGAGGACCAGTCATAACCATCATTTGTTCAGTGCTGTCATAATTTTGAATGGTCACTGAACAAATGTTCGTAGGTTGAGGACTACCTCTATATTTAATCACTGACATTTATAGTACTTTAAAGACAAATACATTTATAATGGCATAAATGTCTGTAGACATTATTGGGTTTATAAATTACTAACTGAGCTTTACTAACTGAGCTTGGCAAGGCTTATGTATTTTAAAAAACTGTAATATGCACTAATATATGTGTATCATAGTGAAATGTATATAAAAAGAGTGCATCTGCTTATGTTGGGTCATGTGTGCCTGGCTGTTTCATGGCCTTATGAACACTTTTTGTAAGAATGAACACCATTCTGGCCTACATCTTGGCTCATAAAGGTTTTGAAAGAGCAAAATGTATTGCTTGTAAACTATCCTAAGACAATACAACTTAGCAGAGTAACATGAAGTTCTGTAGAGTGTAATAGAAAGCAAAAGTTTGTATATTATCTATATGCTTTTATAGCAAAACACAGATTAGAGTAGGTTCTAGTATGATTACACTTTTTGAGCTAAGAAAACATAAAAGAGTTGTGGAAATATTTTAGTCCTCTTAATAATTAATTTAATCAAATACTCTTTAGGACAGAGTATCTGAGGCTTTTCCTTTAATTACACATGTCCAGAGTACAACGTAATTAATATTTGAGTTTTGAGTTTTCTCATCTATCTTCTGTATGTTCTGTATCTAATTACTTCCTGATACTTCTTTCCCATCCTTCGGCCATTCCCTCTGTGGTTAATTCACTATTTAGATCAGGGTAATACAGCAGGCAAGAGTTTTAGCAGGAGTATCTGCAGGAGGTCAGACTGATGTCAGGAGCATCACAGTATCATAAGCCCCATCCTTCTTCTCTGTGTATTGTAATATTGCACACACACTCCAAACAGGCAGAGCTTGCAACATGATGGCACAACAAAGAAGTTTCTGTGGACACTAGTGAGAATTGGACTTAGAATAGGAAGACAACATTTTAAAGTCCTAGGCAACCATGAAGATAAGAAATTGGCCTTGACCTAGTCCTAAGCTACCTTACGGAATGATTGTGAGGAACAAAAGAGGAATATGTTTGCTTTTCTGAGCTTCCATTTTTAGTAAAATCAAATCTAAACGCCTACAAATTAAAAAAAGAGACAGAACGTTTTGACCCTGCTACTCCACTGACAAATCACTGCCATATTGTCCTGTAACCTTCAGAGAATGAACATAATGAAAACTAAAGAGTGCGGCTTGGCTAAAACAAATTGCATTACTTTTTTAAGAGGGGAAGATAAGGTTAAGAAAACCACAGAAGTCAGGTTTCCTAAGAAGCTCCCCTGTTGTTTTTCCTAAGCTGCTACCCATTTTTTGAGTACGTTTTCTATCACTCCAAAGGATTTCATGATTTACAATTCTTTTAAAGGATCTGTCCACGATGAGCCTTATGCCAGTTTATATAATTATTTTAATTAAAGCCTACCTTCAGTTACATTATTTTCAGTTATTCCAAAGGGAATAATTAGGAAGCTCTTTTCTTTCCTCTTGTAAAATCTTTTAGTTCGTTCATTTTTCTTTTATATTAATAATTTATCAGTATCTCCTTAGGTAAATTGCTTTGGCAGCAAACTTTTCTAACTCCTAAGATAATGTTTGCTGCAGTCTTTTTAATCTTAAGGACAACGAGTTTGCTGCTATTTAAAGGGGAGATATTTTCACTCTTTTGATTCTCTGAGAATACTGAAATAAACAGCCTAAGCAAGCATATAAGTTGCACATTCCTCCATGCCTTCTTATGCAGTTACATCATCTACTTTTTTCTGCTTTTCCCAATCAGGCAGGTTCCAAAGCTGGTCCCTGCTCCAGACTGATTAGGCACTCGTTCATGGAAGCAATAAAGTTGTTGCAGAAAAATGGTGTTCTTTTTCAGAAATCAAAGACTCCCCAATATATGTATTATGTAAGTATCAAAGACCTGGATTGTGGACAATGAGTAAATAGGTAAAATAATTTACCAAGCAGTTTTCCTTGCATCCTACTATATTTACATGCAATTATTATATGGGATATGCTGTTGGCAAGCTAATGCTACTGGCAAATGAATAGCACACTTTCTAAATGCAGTTTAGATTATCTGAAATGGGTAGAGTGATTAGATAGATACAAGCACATTTAATTTCACTTGTAACTTTGGGAGGTGCAGATTGGGTACATTAATTTAAAAATGTGGAAGGAAAGAATTTATTTTCTCTTTCAAGTAGAAATTGGAGCTGAGTGCAGATAGTAGCAGTAAGTAGAAATCTTGGGGCTCAACAGTAGTTCTGTGATATGCTGAGTTTATATGATACTATAAACCCCAGCCACATTTTAGCACAGGATGATGTAAGAATCTTATAATTGTAGTTTGTAAATCATGATTTATAGTTTAATGTGTTGTTTGAACATTTTTGATGAATCAACTCTCACTTGTTCAATAAACTATGGCTTAGCATAATGTATGAACCTGGCTATAGTGTCCGAACAGGGGGATGATTCTGAATGGGAGATCTGAAAGATGAAGTATCATTACATGAAGATGATATCTGAAGTCTTCCTTCCCACTATTATATTGTTGAGAGTAGAATGTAGCAGTCTCTAATTGTAACCCTGGCTTTTATGTGTCAGTATAACAGAAATTGTTTTCATTTAGCAATTTATCCTGTATATTCTAGGTTACTGAACAGGATACAGAATTGCACAAAGTAACTCTTGAAGTTATCAGAGCTGATTGTAAGAGGCCAAAATGTAAGTATCATTATCTTAATTGCAAACAGAAGTACTGTATATTTCGCATTCCTTATTTGTATAATTCACACATCATAAAAAGTGGAATTACCTGCAAACTCCTGCAGGAAGTTCTTTTTACACATTTTCTAATAATTTTAGATACTTCTTGGTTCCTGTAATAAAATATTTGCCTCAAAATATCAGACCAATTGCACATGCTCATTTCTTTTTACTGTCTCTTTTACCCTTCCCAGCTGATTCTCTGCATCCTGTATTGATCAGAATTGCATTTCTAGGAATGCAGGTGACACATTTTTAATGAGAGAAAAGCAAGATATTTTAAAATATTTCTTTGTTATATATTTGGCAGTCTGAAATGTTAAAATTGTGAGCTCATTTAAGAAAGCTTTGAGGTCTTAATAGATCAAGGTACAAAAGACATGTACTTTAGCACAAAGTTAAGAATATGTGAGAATTGCATTCTCTTTTGGGGCAGAGGAGAAGAATCAAAACAGTGTAGGGTAAGAGTGACCTTGCATTGTCTTTCTTTTTAAAAAGAGCTACCTTAACACTCTTGTAATAAAGTAGCAAGCACTCATCCAATGCTGTGCTAAAGTAATACTTCTAAAACTGCAGTATAGGAGTAATTGTCTTTCCCCATCAGTGAGTCATAGATACTGTACAATAGGTACCTCTACCAGTCACAATGGAATGCTTATCTTATTACAACACTTACTATATTTGTTGAAGAAACTTTCAGGCTTTTAGCAATGTTACTTGGGCTACTAAAACAATAACAAAAAGAATAAGTCTGTGTATCCCAAGGCACAAGAATATCAGATTACTTCTTTTCCCTGAACAAAAAATTATAAAAGTCCTTACACCAGGAAGCAGATGTTTCCCACCCACCTTACAATGTACTCCACCTATAAAGCTAAGAAATATTGCCAGTTATTTGATGAATGAGCACCAACCATCTGGATTGTTTTTCAAATAATATGCTTCTCTCTTCCTATCACTACCCCAATTTTTCCTCTTATTAGAGAGGAAATATCCTAAATGGAATGTAATTTCTCCTGATTATTCACTCCTTTGTTTAAAACATATACTTTATCATGTCTGAAAATAATGAACCCAAGGACCAGAACATGATGTTCTTAAACTACTCATTTATTCCTCACTGCTAGCAGTAAAAGGGAGGAATGAGAGTGCCAGACCTTTAGATGCCGCCCTCCTAACCGAATAATGGATTCAAGAATGCTATTCTTTAAGAAAGAGAAGGAACAACAGTTCACCCATTTGCAATCCCATGCTTGCTTTTTATTTGCAGATGCTGAAAAAGGGTGCCACCTCCGTCACATACTCAGTTGTATTCAGCAAAGCTATAATCCTTGTGTCACTGAAGCTGTTGTCCGTTGTCTCCTTGATTGGTTGGAGATCAACAGTGAAGTTGTCACTACCATGGAAGAATACTACACAGTCTTTTAATCTAAGGAATGCCATGGATGTCTGGAGTCAGACATTATCGACTGATCTCTGCAATGTCAAAAATGTTACTGTGTACCTGCTCAATCATTTTTCTAATTTAGAAAGTGATGCAGAATGCAAATCCTTTTATTTTGTGATATTCCCAGTAGGTGTCGTTATTGTTTGAAGCATTTCTACTGTTTCTAAGGGCAGAAGTAATGATGTAAAATTAAGCTGTGAATGCCCTCTTGTGGTTGAATAAAAGAAAAGATATGTTTTTGAACTACATTGCCTTTGGACCACATAGTTCAAAAAACAAGAAGTATGTAAAGGAAAGATGAGTTTGATTCATTTAACTTTACTGCCAGAGACCAATAACACAAAAAAGACAATTCCAAAAAAGACAATACAGAAAAGTGAAAATGATAAAAGGTCATATAAAATAAAAAATAATAGGTAGAAATTACTATGTTGATTAATCTTATCCATGCCATGAGGGGAATAAGCATATAGGATGTTTAATAGTTAGTAGCTGAAAAATCAAAACCTTTAGTCTCCCATTAACAATTGCAAAAAACATGACAACCTTTCTGAATATTTTTGTATCACATCAATCAAAAGAGAGAGCCAGTTTGGTGTAGTGGTTAAGGCATCAGGCTACAAACCAGAAGACTGTGAGTTCCAATCCTGCCTTAGGAGGGTGACTTTGGGCCAGTCACTCTCTCTCAACCCTAGGAAGCAGGCAATGGCAAACCACTTCCAAAAAACCTTGTCAAGAAAAATGCCAGGAGTAAAAAACTGACTTGAAGGTACAATCAAAATAGGGCAAATTTTCTCATAGGACCAGCCAGAAAGTTTAACAACAGTGATGTTTTGAAGGCTGAGTTGAAGTGGAGGCAGTCCCTTACCTTCTGACAAGAATGGCTTGGATCCAGGTGGGTCTTTGAGCAAATCCCATGCAGTTATTAGGCAATGACAGCAACTGGGACTGCCGGAACTGCCATCACTAAGTGGGGCAGTCATGTTACATTTCGCTTAATGACCACATCGCTTAGTGATGGAGTTGCTGGTTCCAATTAGGGTCATTAAGTGAGGACTACCTGTACTGTTCAGTAATAATCTACAAACTTTGGAAATCACACTTCGTTAAACATTTTAATCCAGGAATCCCCAGTCTTTTGAGCTGCTGAGCACACTTGGAATTTTGAAACATTTATTTATTTATTTATTTATTTATTCATTCATTCATTCATTCATTCATTCATTCAATTTCTATGGCCACTCATCTCAGACAAGTGACTCTGGTGGTGAACAATCATAAAAACAGTTAAAACCAATATAAACATTACATCTTTCTCTCTCTCTCTCTCTCTCTCTCTCTTCTCTCAATAAAATAATCAGCCAAGAAAATTATAACCTTAGGTATCAATATAGCCAGGAAACAGGCCCCTTGACATACTCAGGGCCCCAGGCCTGGGCACAAAAGCAGATCTTCAAGGCCTTATGAAAGACCAACAGGGTTGGGGACATCCTAATCTCTGAAGGGAGAGCCAACATTCCTTAGCTGATGGGACCTGTAGCATGCCCAACCTGCCAAATCAACTTGGATGGGTAGAAACAATTGGGAGGAGACAGTCCCTCAGGTAACCCGGAAACACACTGGCAACCAATGCATCTCATGAAGTAGTGGTATGTATTGAATATCTGACACCATTTATTACCTGTGCAGCTGCATTATGCACCAGTTGAAGCTTCCAAATGCTCTTCAAGGGCAGCCCCATGTAGAGCATGTTGCAGTAATCCAGATGGGAGGTTATAAGGGCATGAGTGACTGTGAGCAGAGTCCCCGGTTCAGGAATGGGCAGAACTGGTGCATAACCTAAAGGTGTGCAAATGCCCTCCTAGCCACGGCTGCCACCTGCTCTTCTAGCAGGAGTTGTGAGTCCAAGAGGACCCCAGATTGCGCACTGGGTCTGTCTGGGGCAGTGCCACCCCATCCAGGACTAAGGTGGAAAAACCTTGTCACTGGAAGGCCCAAACACCCAAAGGCACTCAATCTTGTTTGGGTTGAGTCGAAGACCATTGCATCCTATCTAGGCCCCTACAGCCTATATAATGACTGATGGCTTCCCTGTTCACAAAAGAGCTGCCAAGGGAATCATAAGATAATAAAGATACTAGTTTACCAGGGTCCTACCAATCACTCATTCTAACTCTCTTTCCTGCAATATGCTTTCTGCTATTCCAGCTCCCCTTTCTCCTTTTTTCTGAATATACTGACACATTTTCAAAGAAAGCACTTAAATGCTGTTTCCCATACTGAAATTAACATTCCATATATTCCACCAACAGCCAAGATTGTCTCCATTAAAGACATAGTTTGAAGATTAGCAATATAATGATAAAGCTAACATTTTTTGGTAAGAACAGAATAATCCCCCAGTATAGCATGACGTGCTTGCTTTTTTCATGTATCAACTGGGAATATGTTTTCAAATATAGCAAATAGAATAGCTTTTAAATTCTCATTTACTCTTACTTGAATCTATTTTGGTGCAAGCTTATCAAAGTCATTCATTTTCCAAGCAACTATTTGAAAATGATGTCCCAGGAGAGTTAACTATCCTTCTCTTGTGAACTTCTAGAGTGTATGATTATCAAGTCCATAAGTGTGAAGTGAAAAAAAAAACAAGTCTGTTGTTCTACTGTATGGAAGATATTTCTTAGATAAAAGTTCAGTGTTTTTCTTTAAAATATTTTAATTTTTTTATTCTTAACTTTTAAACTACCATGTATTTTGTTATTTAATATCCATTGTAGCCTTTGATAAGCAGGAGGTTTTGTTTCCCTTTCTTTTCCTAATATAGTATCAGTGTTGTTCATGGAAGAAATTTAGACATAGGGAAAAACATTTTTGCTATGAAAATCTAAAGCTGTGGTCCCATTTTCTTACCTTTTAACCTTGACAGCAAAAGAGCATATTGTACAACATCATGCACTTTTATTCTTTCATAGAAATTGGATTCTCAGGGAATATAATGATCTGTTTTATGAGTTGGTAATTATCTCAAGAAATAAAAGTAAACTACTTGCAAATATTATATTGCCACAGTGTGGTGCTGTTGAAGCAAACTTGGAAAACTTACATTTCATACAGAGGTTTCTTTATGTATGACGGAACTTATAACATATTTTGTAAAGAATTTTCTTTATATATTTAAATGTTTAACTATTTAAATGCACATTTAAATTTAAGGTGGTTTGCCATGTTCAAATGAAAGATGTATGTAGTTCCTGACTGAAATAGAAATAGGGCTTAAAACCTGGTACTTTCTATGTCTAGAGACTCTGGGCAGTATTTTTTAATTTCCTTCTGCAAGACCAAACTGAAGAAGAGCTTTAGCATTATACTAAGAATATATCTTTCTAATAAACTACATCTTCAATACTGGCTTTATTCTAGTCTTGTTTTTGAATTTGTATTTTATACATGTACATAATTCTAAACGAATCTATGTGGTTGACAATGACCTGATGGCACATAATTAATATGTACATAATTATATATATATAAACACACACAC